TCTTGTTCACAGGGTCACTGTGATGGCACATAACAACAAAAATAAAAATGATCCTTGTAGGGAGCTCTGGTAGCCTAGTGGGTAAAGAGTTGCACTGCCAATCCAAGGGTAGGTGGTTTGAATCTACCAGTGGCTCCTCAGGAGAAAGATGGGTAATCTTCAGCTATGCAATTTCAAAACAAACAGAAGAACCATAACACAAAGAAATATAAATAGACAGTATAACTTTAAAATAAGCAGTTTATATCTCTCTAAGATATTTAAGAAATCGGATTAGTATCTAAAAATTGTCTCACAAAAGGGAAAAAAAATAACCCTCCAGCTGGTTTTATACGTGAGTTTTGTGAACTATTCAAAGCTTAATAGATAATTTCTATCTTTCACAAATTTTTCTGGAGAACAGAAGATCAAATATTTCTCAAGTTAGTATAAAGTTGATACTAAATATAGCAAAACCCAAATCCAGTTGTTGAGTCAGTTCCAACTTACAGTGGTCCTTTATAGAGTCCAGCTTCTGATTTCGTTAACAATCAGCCTGGGTGGGAAGTCTCTTGTGTTGGCAAACAGGATCAGGTGGGTGGGTCTTAGTATTTAAAAGTTGGTCTGGTCTTACCTGTGAGTGAGCCTTTTGCTTGGTGTAGTTAGATCCTGGTAGGTAAGTGTTTATAATTTACTTGAAAGCTGAGGGTAAACTGGGCATTTCTAACAATAATAATAATGCCATCACAGAGCTCCTTAAATATAACATTCACTCACTCATTGCTGCTGAGTCTGAACATATGCATAGCTGACTCTCAAGTGAGTTTTCAGAGGCTATATATTGCAAGGAAGAAAACCGCCCTTCCTTCTCCCAGAAGCAACTGGTGGATTTGAACCTCCTGTCTTTGGTTGGCAGTGTAACTTTTTTTTTTTTTTTTTGGTGAGAAAAATTTGTATTTAGAATTAGGCAGCTGGACTCAGTTTAGATGATCCCAATTTTGTTGGCAACATCCAAAGCATCATAGTCAGGAGCAAGTCGAACAAAGGCCTTCCCTCCATAAGGCCTAATCAAAGTGTTGACCTTGGCCACATCAATGTTACAGAGCTTCTTTACAGCTTGTTTAATTTGGTGCTTATTGGCCTTGACATCCACAATGAACACAAGTGTGTTGTTATATTCTATCTTCTTCATAGCTGACTCAGTGGTCAGGGGAAATTTGATAATGGCATAATGGTCAAGCTTGTTTCTCCTGGGGCGCTTTTCCTGTGGTATTTGGGCTGCCTTCGGAGTTTCAGCATCTTAGGCCGTCAGAAGGTGGGTGACGTGCGGATCTTCTTTTTTGGCTGTGAATGCCCTTCAGGACTGCCTTCTTGGCCTTTAATGCCTTTGCTTTGGCTTCAGTTTTGGGAGAGGCAGAGGCTTCCTTCTTTTCTTTCAACACCATCCTGGCAGTGTAACCCTTTATGCACCAAAGTTCCCTTAAATATAACAATGACTACATGAAAAGTATATTACAGGTCACTCTCTCATGAACAAGAATATAAAAAGATCTAAATTTAAAAAACAGGAAATAAAATCTAGTGAAATATTTAAATATATTGCATACGTGGTACTACCAACACAAAGACGGGCAGTTAGAATTAACCAGCTTCTCTGAAGGAGGAAGATGGACAATCTACTGCCATGCAATTTACGACCTCTGAAAACCCACTGGAGAGTCAGCTATCAGCTCTGACTCAAGGGCTAGTCAGTTATACCCAAAACCAAGCCCGTTGGCACGGAATTAATTTCAACTATAAGTCTTTCTTCTAAGAGCACCAGATAACCAGGTCTTTCTTGCAAAGCACATTAGGATGGGTTTAAACCACCAATCTTTTGGTTAGTAGTCAAGTTCTGAACTGGGCAAGACTGTCTAGGTTAATATGACTATAAAACTACCCAGGTTCTCATGTTTGTTCATCATAGAGTTTACAAAAAGAAAGTAATAGCACTTACTTCTTTGTTAGAAAATTTAAACAAATTAATATTTTAAAGAGTCTAGAATTTTGCCAAGTCTAGAACATTATAAGTGTTCAATCAGTGATAGCTATTATTATTGGAAGAGATTACAGCATAAAAGCCATAGACCAAAACAGTAAACACAATTCAAACAAAAATGCAGATCACTCAGAAGGGACACAAGAAACCCTGGTCCCAATTACATTGTATATACTCAAAAGAGAAAAGCATAAACTGCTTCTATTAAACAAGAGGAGGAGCTCTGATGGCCTAGCACATAGTGAGTTGTACTGTTAACTCAAATGACACTTTAGTGGTTCAAATCCACCATGAGCTTCTTGGAAGAAGGAAGGGCAATCTTTTTCTAGATGATTTACAGCTTAGGAAACCCACTGGAGGGTCTGCTATGAGTTAAGTTTCAACACCACAGCAATGACTTTGACTTTGATTAAATAATAGAGAATAACAGTAAGAACAAGTTAAAAGAAAATATTACAATACTAAAAACTTTAAACTTAGATGGAATAAAATATAAAATAGTAGAAATTATCCCTGAAAATAGAATCAAAGGACAAACGAAAGAGAGATGGAAAATGGAAGAGAAAAAGCAAAGAAAGAGAAATAATTCAATAGATCCTATATTTAACCAAATAAAGATCTGATTCAAGAGACAAGAGTAATAAATGGAAGAAATTATCAAAGATCTAATGCAGGGAACTTTCTCAGAACTACAGGACTTGAGTTTCCAGAGAAAAGGGGACAATTTCATGCTCAGCATATTGAAGAGTTATCTGTTCCACAATCAGCACCTGGGCAATTGGCAGCATCATGACAAACAGTGAAGAGACTGAGATTGTTAACAGCTTCAGTGTGCTTGGCTCCACAACCAACACTCTTGGTACCAGCAGTCAAGAAATTAAAAGATGACTTGCATTGGGAAAGTCAGGGATCTCTCCAGAGTACTGAAGAACAACGATGTCAGTCTGGAGACTAAAGTCACCTGATCCAGGCCATAGTCTTTGCAATTATGTACTATGCATCTGAAAGATGGACAACGACTAGGGATGATAGGAGAATTGATGCCTTTGAGTTGTGGTGCTGAAGTAGGAGAACAAACAGGTTTGGTCTACAGAGAGTGAAACCTGGCTGGACCTTGGAGGCAAGAATTTTGAGGCTCCATCTCACATACTTTGGGCATGTGGCCAAGAGGGACCAGTCCTTGGAGAAGAACATCCTGCTTGGGAGGGGAGAGGGACAGTGCAGGAGAGGAAGACTCAGGGTGAGATGGATCGATTCAGTAACTGGGGTAATGGTAATAGGTGGCTCAGGATAGAGCAGGGTTCAGAGCTGTTGTATGAGTAGCCATAGCAACAACACATATTGAAAAAGAACAAGAAAAATCACATAAGAGCATAGCAAAATTTCAGAACTTCAGGAAAAGACACCTAAAGACTTCCTACCAGAGAAACTGGTACATTCTTTTGTTATTTCTTATTTTATGTATTTTATATGAGGGCCAGGAAAGTGTCTACCCTCTTCACAAGGTATATAGATGTGTAAAATATGGATTACATTTCAACATCAAGAAACCTCACCACCAGGCCAATAATTAACTTAGATGGAAAAGAGATTCAAGTTGTCAATGATTTGATCTTACTTGGATCCACAATCAACACCTTTGGTATCAGCAGTCAAGAAATCAAAAGACAAGTCACAATGGGAAAATCTGCTGTCAGGGATCTCTCCAGAGTGCTAATGAGCTAGCTGTTACTGTTGTTAAGTGCTGTCAAGTCGTAGATGACTCATAGCAACCCTATGAAAGAAAGACCTGAACACTTGTATAACTTTCATCATTTCTCCAAGTTCATAGGGTTTCCAGAGGCAAGCTATTTTGGAAGTGGCCACTCCTGCTTCCAAGCTTATTTTAATCAGGGAGGCCCACCAAATACTGCCCACCATGGGTAACCATTATCACAGGCCTGGCAAAGTCAATTCAAAGATTAGCCTGAGGAATCAAGAAATGAACACCAAATATCCTCAGATTTCCATTATGCTTGGAAGAGAAGACCTCAGGCTTTTTAAGTAAAAACGACCTTGGATTCCAGCTCTTCCAAACCATGAAGCCCCAAGATTATTCAACTTTTCAACAAAAATGAATGGACTGCTAAGGATAGGGTCTGGGAAAATGGCAACTTAGACATAAATATGTTCCCCTCTCCCTGAAGTAAGTAAAATATGACCCCTTTATCCAAAATGCACAGTAGGATGCAGAGACCAATAGGATAAATGCTTCTGTATTACCACAGCCTCTGAACAGGTCAGTTCTAAGCCCTCTCAGATCCCTTTTTTTTTTTTTACACAACTTCAAAAAGCTTTTCCCAACAGAACCCCAGATTTCATTACTTAACTGATTAAAGTTCTTCCATAGCTCCCTTGTACCCTTTGAATCAAAGTCACAGTGGCATCACACACTCTGAAAGTGTCTCTCCGCAGAGTTCACAAGCTCCTTCGTCTAGAGGGTACTAGCTATGAGGATGCCTCTGACCGGGCCCCCTTTGGCACCGGATTCTTCAGCACTCAGCTGAAGAGCAAATAGTTTTATTCATCCTGCCCCGAGTTTCCAAGTGTGATTGCTTCAATTAAAGAAGCACTTGAGGCCAGCTCACGCCCTTCTTCACTCTGAGGCACTTGGTTGCTGAGCAGGGAGGAAGAATTGAGCATGCGTAGACTAGTCTGTATTTTCCGGTCCCTGGTCTACAGAGGACTTGATTTCTTTTTCCCTTTCCCTCACTTTATTGAGCTATACATGACATTCTATAAACTGCATACTTCTTCTTCTTCTTTTTTTTTTAAGAACAACACTCTCCATCCATTTATTTGATATGTGCAAGACTGGGACTGAGATTACTGGCACATCCCGTGAGGGGGTGCCAGAAAGTGGTACGCACGAAACCTTCACTCTGGTGAGAGGCCACTCTGGAGCGGCAGCCAGCTCACATGCCCTGGACGTCTTCCATGCCAGTCATAAGAAGGTCATGACTGTCCCCTTCTTGCCAATCTGCCAGGGCTCCAAGGGGTAGAAGTGGATAACGATCCGGTCCTGGTCCAGGGCCAGCTCCTTAGTGAGAAACTGGAAGAAGCAACTGCTGTGGCCTCGGTTCTCCTCTGCCGCGCCCACCACGCCGATGGAGGACACCAGTAGTTGGACACAGGGCTCTGCAGAGCCGTTCACTGTCATGGCCAGGCCGGACCGAACTGTCATGTTCACATGCTCCTCGGGTTTGTTCAGGATGGCGGTGGCAGCCGCGCACAGCTTTTTCTCCAGCCCCACAGGCAAGCAATCAGCGGACAAGTTGGTATCCAGTTCCACGAAAGGCATGTCTGCAAACTACTCTGCTATGCCTGGAACGAACACTGCAAGCGCGGAGCTGGTGGAGAGCAAACTGCATACTTCTAAAGCGTGCAGTTTGATAGATTTTAACACATGAAACCATCACCATGTTAGTGGTAATGAGCATATCCATGACATCACCCCTCCAAAACATTTTATTTTTAAAACTTGTATATGCTTTTCTCCTGTTGCTGCTAACTTAAGAATAAGGCCTTATACTACTGAGGTTTCCTCTTACCTGTGCTGTCCACTCAAGCAATGCCTCTCCCAACTCCAAGGACATTAAGAAAATGTTGGTAGTGTGAGCAAGTTGGATTGTGACCATCTTAACAAGGTCCTCAGTGAATACATCAGGAGAAAAACAGTAAAGACCTCATTGATCAGGGTCTGGACCAACTTCTCGATTGTGGGATTGTGGCCAGTTCAGCTTCCTGGGCTCCACAACTCCTGCTGCTGCAACAACCCCAGCTACAGTTCAGGAAAACAGAGTCCTTGAAATTGAACAGAGACATGGAATCTGGCTCCTTGAAAAGAAAACTTTTTATGCAAAAAATCAAACAAATAAAATGAAATATTTAGACACAAATGGATGTTGTTTTTGTTGTTAGGTACCATCTAATCAACTGCAACTCATGAAGACCCTGTGAAGAGGCCTGAAGTCTGTCCTATCCTGCACCATCCTTGCTCTCTCCGCATGCTCAGCTCCATCATGGGAGCCACAGCACCAATCCATCTCACTGAAGGTTGTCCTACTTTTGCTTACCCTGTGCTTTTCCCAGCATGAAAATATGCCCAAATATGTGAGACAAAGTTTCACCATCATTGTCTCTAAGGAGTATTCTGTTTGCACTTCCTTTAAAATAGACTGGTTTATTCTTTTGGAAATCCATAGTATATTCAATCCTCTTTGCCAACACCAGAGTTCAAAGCAATTGAATCCTCTGTCATCTGAGTAGTAGTCACCCTGATGACACCTAACAACAAAAAAACAATAACATGAGTTGAAATTAACTTGACAGCAGTAAGTATGAGGATAAATATACCTCCTTGAGTCAGAACAGGCCCATCTTTCAGTGGTTTTTTAGTAGCATTAACCAAAGAGGAGGAGACTGCACATCTTTCTCCCATGGATTCGAACAACATGCCTTCGACTATATATACATATAAGATATATATTTA